AATGTTCCTTTTAGGAACCCCAGGTCCTGTGCTTCTTGATGGTTCTTCCGAAGCAATCAAGATCCATTTCCACACCAGACCCCTCATGAAAACAAGTGATTCCCCTCAGAAACGACTTCCCTCGACTTCGAACCCACGTCACACCTCGACTTCTCACCTTCGACGCTTCACACGGTCGCCTGTCGGGGCTTCGGCGGCTCGCCAGGGCATTCCTTGTCTTCGCAGCGGCCCCCGCCGCGAGGTGAACTGGCGCCGCAGGTGCGCAGCGGTGGCGGCGGTGTGGACGATTTGGTCGTTCACAGCGAGCCAGGAAAGGGTGGTGTCAGGAAGGACGCTACATTCGGACCCATGAAGGACTGCAGGGGTTTCCCAGAAAAATGCACCCAGGTTGGTTAAAGGGTGAAGAAGACCTGCTAGTGTGCCAGTTTGGCCTCTGGGCAATGGTAGGATTCTATATACAGTGGATGCTGTGGGGATCTAGGAGGGTAAGTCTTGAGTCAGACTTCTTCAAGTCATCCAAGGTCCCAGAATCTTGCAAAGCATCTTCAACCAAACGTCCTAAATTCACCTCACAGGTTGTATTCTCTTTGAATGGAGCCAAAAATGTTGGCATGCACATCACCCTTCCGCAAACCCTTAGGGGGTGATGAAACCATTTAAAATACCTTTGAAACCATTTACAATACCTTGGAATCCCTCAAGGGTGATGAACCCAACCATTCAATACCCTTGAAATCCCTTTGGAGGTGGGTCTGTCCATCCGGACCCCGCCTCTCCCACACGCAATTCACATCCGCAGTGCAGGCCTCCTGGCAGCGGGTGTACAATTCAGATATTTAAAAATGAAGAGACAAGACATGTTTCAAAAGAGATACTAATTTACTGTATATACCTATTTACAACTTTTTGAAGTTGGATACTTGAAGATCCGTTCTTCCCCGGCTTCCTCTAAAGCAAAAAGACACGTGAGCCCGCGACCTTCACCTTTTCAAGTTTTCACATGAGGTGCATCTGCACCAGGTCCACTGAGCGATGTTTCAATCAAGTGCATTCGCGTCTGAGCCTTTGTCTTATGAAACTCTTCCAGTGCGAGACTAGACCAGACCTGCTTGGGTTGTGGATGATCAAGGTGAGTTCTGAGTGGATCAAGAGAAGTGCTACAGCAAGTAGGTCCATGTCTACCAATGTCTGGGAAGACGAGTCCTCCCAGACAAAGGATTTCCAAGAGATCGACCCGAAGTGCTACTCTCGATCTTTTACAAGGCGACCCTCGACCCCAGGCACCTCGGTTTTGTGGGCACTATCTCGGCAGCCCGGACGTTCACCCAGAGCTGCTTGCAATCCGTAGTATTCCTTTCAGCCAAGTTTGGATATTGGCGAAACGGAACGAAACGAAACGAAACGAATGGCAAGCCTTTTGCTCCACCATGGCGAACGAACCGGAGTGGCGACATCGATTTTGGGATCCTTTCCGATCACCGAATTCTGATGCGAACAGGCAGTCACCACCCCGCGAGAATGGGTCACGTGCTTTTCAAGTCAATGAAAGAAAAAGGCAAGATACACGCACAGCAATCATATGCCCTGAGCCGCACTTTCACAATGTTGCGTCGTGACCGAAAATGCGAAGCCACGTGCAATCACAACCGTTGGAATAAACTCACCCCACGCAATCAAAACAATAATCTAGTACCCCTTGCTACTAGTAGCTTCTTGTTCTTAGTAATGCCCCTTTTACTAGTAGCGATGCCCTTGTTACTAGTAGTTTCTTGCGAGATGCGGCTGTCACATTGACACAATCTATTTGCGAATCTCCAGTGCAACATAAACATGCAGAGAAAGAACCAAACATCCATAGTGAGAAGTGCCAAGCTGGAGAGACAAGCAAGGGGCTTTCTTTGCTCCAGCCAAACCACAAGGAGCGACCCAAGATCCTTTTCTTGCAACCTATGTTCCACGGGTGGAAATCGTGAAAAAACAACGGTTTTGGTCATAATTTGGACATCAAACAGTCCTGCTCTCCAAAAACACACATACACTTGAGATATTGTGTACGGAACTGAATCACGCCGGCCTAGGGTTCCATTTCCTAAGAGTACCAGTAAGGACCATCAAAGCCTGGAGGTCTTAAAAGGAAAAGAGGCCAAAGTCTCAAGGCGACGACGAAACGACAGAGTGACGACGATCGTACTTGTCTGCCGAGTGAGGTTCTTGGCTTAGCCTCATGCCATGCAGAAAGGAAGGAAAATTCGCAGGTACGTCCAGCTGGCCAAGCTGGATATCCCATTTCACTGGTAGCTTCGTTGGACACAGTCCCAGTGAAATGCTGTGTCCCCCTGCAGTAAAACAAATGCAAAAGCATCCCTATGACTCCAAGGGTGACACACACACACACACACACATACACACACATGGTCATGATTGCCACTCAGCTTAGCTGTTCTCGTTGTTCACCTCCCAACACCAATCCGCGGACGTTTGTTTTGCCTGCACGAGGACGCTGGTCTTCACCGCCGGATCTTCGAAGGAAAAAATGTCGGTTCCCTGACGCATCACCTGAGGTGCTACAAAAAGCGGCAGCTCGGCGGCCGCGTTTGGGCGAGGATGGTGAGAGGAGCACTTCCATGTGGCACGTTGGTTTAGGTGTTTCTGTGCCGCAGAGCTCTCAAAGCTGCTCAAAAAAACTCCCGTGTCCGTTTGTGAAGAACACCCCCACCTCTGAAATGAAGGCGAAGGTGAAGAACCAACCGACCAGGAAGAAGCCCCAACAGGCAAAGCAAGGTCCTGTGAAAGGCAGAAAAGGAAGGGCCACATCTTCACGGCTCGCGTGGAGGTCTGTTGCTTCTGTGAGGGTTGAAGGAATCAAAAAATGCCTGAAGTCAAAAGCACTGCAGGTGAGGGTTGTGTGCACATGTGGACTCCATCGTCTCGCTCCCAACAGGTAAACTTCTGCCATATTTGAGTGATGCTATTACCCAGTCTGGGACTTGGACACCAAAATCAAACGCCAATCGTCCAACCACGCTCGCGCTGCCAACCCGTTCAGAGCTCGGCCTCGCCTATCTTGGTTCCGGCAATTTTACAATCGCCCATCAAGCAAACTTCCCAGCAGCAAGGCTTCAAGTTTGCCTGCCAACTTTGGGGCCCACACTGCCAACGTGGGCCCCCGGTATGCTTTCAACCATCAACATGAAGGTAGTCTCTGCCACAGGCGGTGGGCGGTGAAGTGTACAGTACTGATTGGTGATGTGGTACAGTGTAGCACAGTAAAGTGGCATGCAGTGAGTCGTAATGTGGCAAAGCGTACAGTGTAGTGAGTTGCAACCCGGCGAAGTGTACTGTGGTAAATTGCACTGAATCGCGGGGTGAAGTGCCCCCCGGTGCCGGTAACGTGTTCATTTGTATGAATGTGACGTGATAATGTGCAGCCGTGGTGGTCTGTGATGTGGTCTGTGTAGTGTGGACCGTGATGAGATGTCATTTTTGATCGGCGTGCTTGATTTGTAGCCAGTTCTCAGTTGGCGAAGCATGATCTGAATGAGCTCACATCATTATCATACCTGGTCGCTGTTCACCCGGGTCGGGTCTCAGTGGGCCTGAGAGCAGAAACCACGCGACCCGGTGGAGTGAACTGCGCGGAGATGTAGATGTGATGTGAAGCATGTGTTGACCAAAGTGTTTTTCATGTGATTTGTTGATTGGTTAAGTGTAGCGTGGTGAAAAGCAATGCTGTGATGTGTCATCTGCTCAACTGTAGTTGATGAAGTGTAGCATGAGGAAGTGTGATGTGGCTCACTATGAAATCCACTTCTGGACTTTACCAACGGTAGGAATGCTGTGGGTCAAACCCCAAGCACTCTGGTTGACCCCTGAAAATGAACAGATTCTGTCAACCTCGCATGTCTTGGTGGGTTTTTGGCTATGACCCACTGCCACATTCCTGTACAACCTCCCCTACGCGGCGAAGCCAGGATGTGGGGGTGACCCGGAACCGTGAGTGACCACGAAGCCCGTTGAACGTACACCTAAACCGGCTTCCGGTCGAGTCTGGGACCGGTACGTGCTGTGCGGAGTCGGTCTGCCGACTCGGAGTCGGTCTGCCGACTCGAACGAAGACGTGCAAAGTAGTAGTGTTGCACAAAATCTGATCCATCATCCGCAGACAAAAAAAAAGGTATAGTATAGTATGTTTGAGGAAGCGAAAAGGGGGTGAAGGAAGCGAACGCTACCCATACGTCTTGTCGTTTGCAATCACCCTTTTTGCAAAGCGTACACGCGTGGGATTTCACTCCGGAAGTTCTGGCGGAACAGTTTTATTATATAACATGAACCTCATTCGAGAAGAATCACTTCCATCCACCAGCTGCAGCTCTCTGACCCTTCATAACTGCTACCTCTCACCTCGGCCGCCGCCAACGTGGGCCCGGGAGCATAGGCGGCTCCGGGATGCTTGTCATTGGCTACGGGTGCGCCCGTCACCACCGGAGCATCACTGTTGTCCACGTTCACCGCCTCCCCCACGAGGTTGGCCATGACGAGGCACCGATGCCGCTGCGAGTGAATTGGGCCAGCTGGGAAGAGACCGGGAAGCGACGGAAAGCGACGATCCAGCCAAGAGACCAGAAAGAAAAAAAGTCTTGAACGAAAGGACGAAGGGTCTTGACTCAATTTCAGCCAAGAACGTGTATGGGTTTTCAATTTTGGAGTTCACATCATAGTTTACCCTCGAATTCACTCTCCATCTATTGATGGAAGCCTGGTACATGCACAAAGTCTTAGTGCAAATTGACCAGCGGGAAAAGAACATGGCTGACTCAGTTGGAGGCATGTGCCCAAAAATCTGTCCAAAGCTGCATCGACTGGTATCGTTAAACCCTGTCTCGAGCCATCATAAATCACCTGGCCCCATTGGTCTGAAGACACTGCCTCCGGCCCAGTGGATTCCGCCACCACCCACCACCCACCCATGCACGGTGACGGAACGGCGGATGCCGAGGGTCAGCTGTGAAGGTAGAGCCCCTGAGACGGTCACACCACGCTGGCCCCAGTCCGGATCCGTCGGCTTCATCATCACGATGCACATGGCCATGGCCTTTTTGGAGGCCGGCCCTCGGGCCGGTGGGAAAAAAAAAATAAAAACGCCCTCGGGCGAGAGAGCTGAGTGAAAGGAATCATGGACAAATACATGGCCACATACTCCTGTTTGATACATCATACATATGTTAAGTTATGTTAAGAATGCACGGAAGACTTCAATAGAAGACAGAACAAACTATCTATCCGGCTTTCCGTTGAGATGGTGCAAAAAAGGAGTTCTGTTGTGACTTTCGCAATCTCAGAAATTGCAATGGTGTCATTCATCAGTTTCACCCTGCACCAAAAAGCTGTGGAGAAGCCTTTCCGAGGTCACATGCGGTCAAATTGGTCAAAGAAAGAGCAAGTGCCATGTGCTAGGTGCTAGGCTTGAAGAATCAACAAGTAACTCTATGATTGCTACATCACCACTCGGACCTACCTGTGCAGCACCGGGCATTCTTTTTTACTCAGAGGTCTTCCGTCTTGGGAGTCACCTCCGGGATGAAAACCCCTTCGCTCACCGCGCAAAACCGATGTCGCGTCCGATGTCGCAGACCCCGAAGAAAAAACGGAATCCACAGCTGCATGTGTGGCCTGAAAAGAGCTTGTTGAATCCAATGAATTCACTAAAGGATACTAAAGGTAGTTCTTTGAGGATCGTTGGCTTGGCGTTAAACCTTGCTGGATTCCAGCGTCACACCAAGTCCTGCTCTAGTGCAGCCACCCAGGAATTCCGGTCTTTTGTCAGGTTCAAAAATGAAGGTGGAGAACAGCCCGGTTACAACAGAGTTGAGAGAAAAAATGACTTGCAACGATTGAAACGACCAAAGGAGAGAAATCAATAGACAGTTGGGGGCTCCACCTTCCACCACCAACCACCCTCTCCACTCCGCTCGACCACCCCGGGCCCCACACCAGCGCCACGTCCACCTCGCCGAAGAAGGCTGCGCCCCACCAGCCCATCTCATGATCCAGGCGCCACCTATCCTGGCGATGCCAGCTGAGCTGTCTCGGAGTTTGGAGGGTGTGCTCACCTTCCAGACTCTTTAGAAGCTTCCAGACTCTTTCGACTTGGGAGTGGAAGATGTGAAGGATTGGAACCAATGTGAAGGTCAACAAAATCAAGGATTGCGAAGTCTCGAGGACAAGCTGCGCTTTTGCAGGTGTCTGGCAACGGCTTATCACCTGGTGCGGGAAGTGGTGCCCACGTGCATCAACAATGGAGGAGAAGCTGAAGGTTGGTCAGCTGAAGGCCTCGAAACTGGAGGTCCCAGATCTAATTGTGTGATAGATAATTGTAATTATTGGGGCCAACAAAAGACAACTGCCGAATTGTTGCTGCAGTCCTTCTTGGGATCCACTTTGTAGCCCAGCTTCTCAAAAAGCTCTGGGTACCTCGAGATGAAGCACTCGATTCGATCGAAGAACAGAACGGGTCCCATTGGAGGTCAGAAGGAGATCATCGATCCGGATCGATGGAACGAAGGGGACCATAGCTGAAAGTGTATGTGGGTTTGTATTTCTTTTAAAGGTTCCCGGGCCGGGATGTTTGACTATGGGGTATGCTTCGGAGGTATGCTTCGGGGGTATGCTTCGGGGTATGCTTCGCCTAAGTCGAACACCCCAGCCCTACATAAACTGGACGCCTTAAAGAAAGAAAGACAAGCCCATGTATTGTTGGTGGCTTTCTGGTGTTTCATGATTCTCCTTCACCAAGTGCAAAGGCTACTTCAAGGAGGCATTCATGTGAAAGTATCTCACCCCATCTCACCTAGCACACCATATCAATGGTGCTATCGAACCGTGCTGGCTTGGAAGATGGTGAGAAGACGTGGAAATATAGGCATCGGCATGAAAGGTAAAGGCTTAAACCTTCCTTTTGTGGACATTCCATTCTGTGATTGGAGGGAGTACTTCTTACGAAGTCCATGAAAAACAATCGGGAGGAATCTCTTCCAGCACTGTACTGCCCCCCCCTCGTTCTCAAGGGCACCACTGGCACTCTGCCCAGGCCATGCGATTGGTGGCCACCACACATTTGGACTTTCCTGCGGGCGGTTCGACCCGTTGAGAACACTCAGCGCGGCGATGGAAGGTCCGAAGTTCTGAGATCAAGAAAAACCCGGCAACACATCGCCCGGATTCTTTTGGCCAATGACCCAGCAAAGACCGAAAGCCACAGTTGGTCGGACAGAATGGTGCAGATGCCCGCCATTCCGTGCGCGTGGGTCCGTCGGCTCGGATCCGGCTCGGCCGCGGCGGCGCGGCCCACCTGTGGAGCCACTGGTGAAGATATAGGAGAGCACATGGTCAGTGGTCGTGGGCACATCCTCACATTCCGCGCTGGGGAGACACAAAAAGACTCATCTCGGTGATCAAAAACCACTCTTCCGAGCAGGAAAGGCTGTCCCAAGCAGCAATGACCCGTCCAACACCAAGTGGTTCTCCTCGTAGTCCTCCACCATCGGGTCTCCATTCAGAAGCTCCCTGGCAGACACCACCTGGTCAATGGGCCAATGGTCTGTGCCCCAATCCACCCAAAAAGACCAAGAACCTTGGACCTGGCACCTGACCTCAGGCCCTAAGCTTTAAACTTCCCTCCGAATCCCATAACCTTGACTGGTTGGCAGGGGCTCGTGCAGCCGTTCTTCTCAAGTGGGGAAAAGCTGGTTCCACGGAAATCATCCAATGGCCCCTCAACAAGTGGGTGTGTCAAACAAGGTTGGTCTCTCTTTCTTGCGCTGGTCTCAACTATTTAGCAGAAAAAGACTTCCCGGGGCACTTGCTAGGACACTCTTGCTTCACATTCTTCTGGACACCTTTGCGGGACAGTTTGTAGGATATTTTGTTGAGACACCCTAGCTTGACACTCTTGGGAGACACGTTTGCTTGACACTCTGGTGAGAGACTCTTTTGCGAGCTTTTTGAATGGCACTCTTGTGGGACATTTTTGCCCGACACTCTTGGTCCTGTGCGACATTCTTGCGGCAACACTCTTGTGCGACACTCTTGTCAGGCACTCTTTTGTGCAAAACACTCTTGCTTGACACTGTTTTGGGACACCTTTTCACGACTCTCTTCTAGGACACTCTTGTCTACAGCAAGGCCAGGTCTGAGCTACAGCTCCAAGCCTGAAACGGGGAACATCCAAACGAGCATTGCTGGCGAGATTTCCTCCAGCTCCCGCACGTCAAGTGACTTCCTTGCGTACAAGACTTCCTTCCTCGAAGTTCCCGGTGCCCTCTAAATTCCAAACATTTCGTACAAGACGTCCAGTCTCCAAAAGTCCCGCGAAACGATAACTTTTGACGAGAATTTTTGACGAGACGTCCTCCAATAGTCACGCATCAAGTGTTCAAAGCGAGCATGTTGCACGAGACTTCTCTCACAAGTCTAGTACAGCTAAGAAATCTCCAAAACATTCCAAAACGAGCATTTCATACGAGACCTCCTTCAATTTTGGAGCGGAAAGTCTTGTCACACTGGACAGTTCACGCAACGCTGCCGAGCAGGTCCGTCTCCAACCCCGGTTAGCCAATCCCGATGGCGCCAAACGAACTCACGTGTACCAAACCTCCCCACGAACTCAGCTTCGTTCCCTGACCTGACGAACTCCCTTTAAGACGCATACTTTGTACGCCTGCAACAAAGTATGTGGGCTATGCCACACAGCCAGACATGTCTAGCAATGGTCCATGCTTTCGACACTTTCCTACTTCACACAGCCCACGCAAACTCGCACCCTTAGCAAGATTTTCCTGAGACTTTGTCAGGAGGCACGTCCAAAAGACCCCCGGTGTCCAACGAGAACCCTTTGCTATGGATTTGGGAACGAAAACCGGACCTCCTCCAAAAAGTGTTGGAAACCCACAAGACCCCTCTGTCCCTGCACCTGATTCCCCCTATACTCGTCGTCGACTTTTCTGAACCCCAAAGCGAGTCTGACCGCCTGCAGTGCTGGGCGGAAGTGCTGCAGCTCCTGCACGAGGTCGCTATCCGTCACGGCGGCCACCGGCTCGAAGAGCGTCATGGCGTCCTCACAGTCGTGGTGCACGGAAGAGGTCGACGCAACGAAGGAGCGGCACGTGCAGCTGAAGTGGATTGGTCAAGGCCAGGCGAGTTGGACTTCCATGCAAAGAACCTCCCTGAAACGGGTGACATACAGCCCAGGCCCTCGCGGCCCTCCGTCCTCATAGCGAGACAGAAGTTGGCTCCTGAGGACCCCACCAGCTCTCAGCTGGTCAGCAGCTTTGGTTTGAGAATCACTGCTTGGTGTGTCACCCATCCAGATTGGTTAAGTGGAGTCATTCTCGAAGAGGGATGGAAAAACAACAATTGCAAGCCCGATGGCTAATCATGAAATGGCTTGATTTTGGTCAATCACACATTGAAACTGGGTCGCCAAGCCGAATGAGTTTCGCTCTCGAGTCGAGTGCCAAGTTCACAAGCAGCTATGGTTTGTCTATAGCCAAAGATCTGCAGCTACGCTCAGCGAATCTCACAACCACAATTATCATAATATCCACAGCATCTGTTCACCAGCAGTCCTGTTGGCATGGGTCACGGACAAGGGCAACAATGGAAAGCCTTGGCGCAGAATCCCAAGGATGATGATCAAGCTCTCCACATTGTGTCCAACCATCACCACCTCAGTCCACAAAAAGTCAATCCAAAAGCTGAAATTCCTTGGCGCAACTAGCACAAGTGACAGGAACCAACAAATGCCGGTCCGAGCACCTGTCCAAGAATTGTCCATTGGACGTTTGCAAACGGATTTCCTCCATTTCACTTGGAATCTTGCAAATGATCCTTCTTTGTCCTTTTTTCCTGGAAAGTTCCGGGAACACCAAATGAACTTGCAGCAGAGTCAATAGGGTATACATGGGCATACAAAACAAAACAACTTGCTTCGTTTGAGACATCAGAGTACGTAGAACCAACCTGATCTCTTCTCTGGGCCATTGAAAACACCACATTCGGTTCTGCCACGGCACCATTGGCGCAGGAGCCTCTGCAGGCCGGTCGTCCACCCGGTAGGCCGACGTGGGTGAGCCTGGCGCGGCTGGGCAACCGCCTTCCGGCCACAAAAACATGCCTAACGTAGGTGTTTGTTGAATTCAAAAGACGTCAGGGACCTACATGGCTTTTGCAAGTCTCAAAAAAGAGTTGGAGGGTCAGCTCCCAGAGGGCACAAACAAATGGCATCAATGCTGTGCGAAAAGAACACCCTGCAGCAACATCTCCAGAAGAAACCCTCAAATGATCCGAAAGAAACCCTCAAAAGACCCGCGACAACAACAAGGGTCTACCTGAGTCTACCTGAACTCATCACATACCCAAGCCAATCCGAGGCGGAAGAAGAGGCCTGTAAGGCCAAGCTTCGCCAAGGACTTCGCCACGACCTGGGTCCAGCCCACCACTTTCCGAACGAATGGCATGTCTGTGCAAGTCTCTCAGAAAATCCTGGTTTCCAAAGATTCAACCACTTCCAAGACATCAACCAGTGCGAAAACTTGGGCCTCGCACCTTGGAAGCGGTCGCCAATTCCAGCCAAGTGATTTCCCTCACACCGTCTGTGACCGCCAGACAGCCACCCAAACCACTTCCTGCGGTCGAAACTTCACGTTTGCAGCGTTTAGAATGCCTTCGTTCCGCAAGGGTGGAATTCCGTGTGTTGCGCAGGGAAAGACAGGGCCGCACATCGAACTGCGGCACTCTCCTACGATCTCGTCCACGCGTCGAGGCCAGCTCCACGTCGTCGCAGCGCCTCGAAGAGGGCTCCACGGGACGAAGAGGAAGGCTCGACTTGGTTGTTCATCCAAGGGTTCGAAGACGAGGCGTTCCAAGGGGAAGACGCCAAGGACTTGGCGTTGTTCATCCAAATGTCACACGGATCTTTTTCTTCTAGCACGACTTATGAAAGCAAGTGAGACTTATGAAACTGTCCAAAACGAAGCGCCCGTTGCACCGAACCCAATTCTTCTGGCATCCCTACGAACCAATTAAGACTGTCTTGCGGTGTCCTGGTCATGAAACCCTTTTCAGTGGACCTACCAGGTGAACGTGTGTGAAATCGTTGTGCCGGATGTGCTTGCCCTCTTCAACAAAAGCACTCACTTTGAATGCTATGTTTCGACCTTCGGGACTCTTATGATTCCTTCTCATTTGTACATCCACTCATCTCCCGCGGATGAGCTCCCAATCAGCTCTTTTCGTCCACCGTTTACGTCGAAATGGTGCTCACACGGGCGTCCCCACACTCCACTCGCATCTTCTTCTTGGGCTGCTCGTCGTGCGAACGCGGCGTGCGGCTCCGTGGACTGCGCATGAGAATGCGGAGTCTCGTCGGGAACTCGGGGATTGAAAACGTATGAAAAGGGTCTTTGTTGGAAGCAAGTCTGGTGCGATCCCTTCAAATTCATCAGGTTCTTCAAGGGATCCAAAAATCTCGTCGGGACATGGAGACGTGGTTCAACTGGGGGTGCACTGGAGCCAAAACTGCTGCAGGGCGCACGGCCCAATGATAATCATCATGTCTGTCAACACAAGTGCAAATTGACATCCTGACACTAGTCTAGTTCCTTTTTCCATCAGTGAAGTCACATTCTACAATCACGTATTGTCTGCCTGCCTTTCAACCAATCGTGGTCGGATTCTTGGCATGCAAACAATCTCAGCCTGAAAATCTTTCTTTTCAGGTTCGGAAAGGCCTTCCACAGCGCCTTTCGCTGACGAATGCCGTTGGTCCTCTTGCCATTCACCGTGTCGGCATGCAGCCCACTCTCAGTCCAAGCACGTCCCAGCTGCCACGCAGGGACCTGCAGGTCATGTAGCTGTGTGTATTCACACACCCAAGGTGTCCACAATTCCCGTGCATCGGGATGCTCAGAAAGAGCTTCTATGACCACCCTTCACACCAGTTTTGTGACATGGAGCGTTGCCTCGCCAAAATACTGTACCACTTAGACTGACATGGCACAGGAAGGAAAAGTGTTGCTGCAGCACAAATCCTGCTGCTACACCTTAGGAACAAAGAAATGGAAATGGTAGTCCAACTGCAAAATTATACAGCTCATTGCTTGTATTGCACTGTTTCTTGGCATGCTGGCCATGATCACATCGACTTGCCCGGTGCAAAGGGGCCTTTTCAGTGTTTTCCTGTCACAACACATTGTCTGTGTGGTGCAAAAATGGTTCATTCTCCTCTTGTCTGTCAGTCTGCTGCAATCGCAACTAAGCACAGTTGTATATGTTTGTTGGATGTTGCCCATTGTCCGCAATCAGTCGAAGTCTTAGCCTAAAGCCATCTGCTAGCTCTTGACACCCTCCACTCATCACCTGATTGTCAACGTCTTGTAAAACCAGAAGAGACCTTCCCACCTTCCCCACCAAAGACTCCCGCCACGTCACAGCTGAGGACCTGTCTCACTCCATCCACTTCATCTGTCAGCTCCTCCTTGCAAAACGAGTACTGTATCTGTATCTGTCAAAAATTGAGAAGATCCCCCACCCGGTTTTGTATGGTTTCTTTGCTGCAAACCCAATCAATAATAGAAAAGAATTGTAAAACAGCGGACATGACAAGAGTGTGACTACGCAAAAGCGGCCATAGAGTTTCTGGGAACGGGTGCAACAAAGAGGATTCTGCAGCAACGATGTTGGTCGCATTGCTGGTAGCCCCTGAACCCGAACCATGCATCTTGTCCAATGAGGATCTTGACCCACTTTGTTGGCAAAAAGGAGCTGAAGCTTCCGGGACATTCAATTGAGCTGTACTGGGATCAACAGCTATGGGTCATTGCAAAGAAGGAAGAGGCAACTCCTAGACCCCATGCCCCAAACAAGCAAAAACCTCACTTTTTGGGAGTGGCCTCCATCTCCTCATCTTCTGCCAAGAGCTCCTCCGGTGACAGCTCCTTAAGGGTCCCACCGCCAGTCCTGCGAACATTCACCAAACCAATCAGACTGCCAACACGGGGCACGGCAAAAGGTTTATAGTTAGTAGTGGATGAGTGGATCCTTTGCAGCAAAACTATATCATCGCTGGAACTAGCATCACCTTGGCTCGGAGCGCTTGTTCAAGGTTGTATCATTCAATGGAATGAACACAGAGTCCCGTTCTTGTTGTGTTGATGCATGTGTAATGCAACCAAGCATCTGGAAATAAGCGCCACAAACACGACAAAGAGCTGAAGTAAACCTGGCCACGTCACTTTAGAGAGGTGTTTTTTGTTGAAGGTAGGCGGATTTCACTTCGTAAAATTGTGCATAGATGGCCAAGTTATCCAACAAATGTGTTTTTTACTCTTGCGCTCTGGGAACTGCAAAACAATACCCTCTGCACATTCTTTTGCTACATGATCAACCATGCCATGGCCACGCATTGAAGGATGATCAAATGAACTTCGGTAAAGGATAAAGCGTAGCTTGTGCCGAGATGTTAAATCCACAAAAAAATTGATATAAGAGAAGACAGAACAACAAAATACCCAATGTCAAGTATCAACCAGCTGATCCACAGACACTCCAACACTGCACACAAAGCCCACCGCAGACATGTGTCCTTGTCTACAAAACACCAGAAATGTGATTTAACCCGATTCATGTTGTTTTACAGTCAAAAAACTTTGAATTTGGAGGCACTTCCCAAGATGAGCACCCATTATTGATGGACCTTATTCACGAGAATGCAAGATAGACGCAAAAGTGCTGTCTTTACCAGCTGCTCCCTGGATCTCCCAAAACAATTCCGTGGACAACATCCTGCGCAGACACTCTGCCCGCTAAGGCACGAGTTGCGTTTCACAGTTTTTGCAGTGCAGTTGCACAAGCGGCTCAAGGTTGCACAAGGGATCAAAACAATTTTGGGGCCCAACAAAAACAAGTGAAGACTTCCATAGTGGCATTGCACCCACACAACAAAACATAAAAAATGGTTTAGATTTTGTGCACAAACCTTCGATTGTCAGGTTGCCTTCGCATGTTTTGAAAGACAACCGACCTTCAGTTTAAACTGCTGTCTCTTTCCGTTTGGTGTCTTGCAAACCACTAAGCTAACTGGCGCCTCTCTTTTTCGAACTGGGGGTTGCACGCTCCTTATCAGGCTCGGGCTTGGCCTGAAAGTCACTCTTCTGGAATGATTTGGTGTGGGTGGGTGGGCTTTTCAGAGCATTGACCGTTCGGTCAGCGGAGCCCGCCACACCCTCCCTTGAAACAAAATGTCACGAAGGAAGAAACATCATCCAAGACACCCGAAACTTCTCGTTTCTAAAACGAAGTAGAGACAACACGATCTTCTTCGAAGAGCTTAGTCGTCTCTTTCCGTTTGGTGTCTTGCAAACCACTAAGCTAACTGGCGCCTCTCTTTTTCGAACTGGGGGTTGCACGCTCCTTATCTCCCCCATCAACAACGTGCAGGCCACTGTTCGATTCAACTGTTGAAATCAAGCTCTGAAAACACAGGCGTGCACTATCAGAAACATCTGCCTCTGGAACGAGGAGCGGATGCTGGGAAAGCCTCGAAGGGAAGTCAGCAATGTTTGCCTCAGTCGGGACACGAGCAAACCAAGCCCGTGAGTGCAGACTTGCTTCTTTCTCAAGATGAAACTTCATGATCACTTCACCGCAAGGCCCGATGGCAGTTCCTCTGATCAACGCATACCTCACACTGTCATTGTCTCCAAACCATGTGGTCAGGTTGCCAGCCAGATGATCGCCCCAATAAGAAAGGGCATGTACTGCAGCTACCAACTCAAGCTCATAAATAAAGGACTGTTTTGTTTGGCAACCGAACGTCTTGCACATTTCTTCATTGAGAGGAAAACCAAACCATTGTATACAAGATCCAGCTTGGTCCACCAAGACCGCACCAACGCCACCAGTCAGTTCTTCCATGTTATAAGCAGCATCAGTGTAGACGAACCATTGCAGGAGTTCCTGGTCCGAGATCTGGACAGGGTGTCCCGCTTCAAGCCTCGTCTTCATGGCCAGCAGAGCATGTTTGGTGCTCTCGTCCAAAGTCCTCTGGCGAGAGTAAGCATGTTCAAGCAGCTTCTTTAGGAGTATCTTTCCAAGCCTGCCATGTAGAAAACTGTCAGCAAAGCTCAAGCGTCCTTTTAGTACGAGTGTCTCATGTTTTGACAGCTGTCCTGCAAGCAGAACTTCGGAAATCCTAGAAACAACATCAAGCCTTCTCTGTTCAGTATTGTAGATTTGGACGATCCTTCGCTCTGATCTGCTCAAATCAAATTCCACTCCAAGTGCTTTGCAGGTGGTCTCAAAAAGTGTTGCCTTCTTTCCATCACGAGCAAATTCCCAACCGGTCAGCATAAACAAAACTTCCATAGCCAGGTCTGCTGACTTGCAACTTTCGGGTTTGGACAACAACGCGAAATCGTCATAAAAGTTCGTGTTGAGAACATACAAACCTCTAGCAGCAATACTGTGAATGAGCCTCGCCAGTCGAAGGAAGGAATAAACCGAGTGCGTGGCCCCAAAAGGCAGGGTCAGCAGTTGGTAGATCTCGGGCTTTCCTTCTTCGCAGTTGTAGATGCTGAAAAAGGCATACTTTAGGTGTTGGCTTTGTATAGGCACCTGTCTGTAGGCACTCTTGAGATCGAAGGTCTTGGCCAGAAGCCGGCTATCACATTCTTTCGCACTGCAAGCTTGAAAATATCTCCGGATGACCGCTCCCAACGTGTCAATCATGCGCAGGTCTATTTTGGAATGAATCGTGCACGAATCATTTATGCCACTGATGGAAAAATCATCGATCATTCGAACTTTGTTTGATTGCACAAGCGGGAACCTACGAGAAATGACTGCCCCCTCTGGCAGGGCATCCAGTTCAAAAGGTCCTCTAGCCCATTGCTTTTCAAGCTCAGCCTTGGTTTCGGCCAGCACTTGCTGGTCCAGAGCTTCATCACCGCAGCTACAAGTCATTGCAAGAATGGCCTGATTCCGGCGCTTTGCTCCACCTTCCAGCTGATCAAGGGTCATCAAGCACGGTTTGAACTGTTGTTCAAATATGCAGCAACTCTCAATGCGGCCCGCCAAAGTGGAGCCCTCACGCAGAATGTTTAATGCAGCCTTGTCTTCATATTGTATGCTATCCAAAATCTCATCCGTCAGCAGCAGGCGCTTCGACGAGGTGCTGTGCCTCACATGTTCAGGCCGGGACGACCTGTCCAGGCTCTCTGCAGCATCAAGTTCTTTTGCCCTCAACAACCAATGCTTTGCCCAATCCGATCTATATTTGGACATCTGCTCATCATTCCATGCCAAATTTCTGTCAATGGCAATTTGAAGATCTTCTGGGATGCTCATGTCGGTCAATGCTGGATGACCGGCTGTCACAGCCTTCTCAATGAACTTTTCCGGCTCCCGCGGCAAGCCAAAAACAGCTCGAAAAGGGCACAAACTAAGGTCGGCATCGGTTTCGGATTTTTCAGCTGTCTCGGGTTCCTTAACCCCCCCCCCCTTTCGGACTTTTCAGCTGTCTCGGATTCCTGAAGCCCCCCCCCTTTAAAGAATCGGAGGCAGCAAATAGGCGAAGCAACCGTGCATATTGGGTTGAAGCTCAACGGACAAAAGGTGCAAGTCATTTTGAACCTTGCCGAGGACAGGGACTGGGACTTGGGATTTGTCCTGAAGGACAGCAACAACGACTGCATCGAAATCCGAAACCAAAGGTGGTATTTTCTTTCGACATGGCTGCAGTCCAACACTGATTTGAGCCTGCTGCGCATGCAACAACGGATGCTTTCGGATATCGTTCAAGGTCTGAGGCAAGAGGTGAAGTCCTTGGGAAGCAGCTTTCTGCAAAATCACCTGAACAGTGGCTAGACACAGTGGACGAGTGTACTGGCTCTCGAGGCTAGTTGCCCAAACACGCTTTCCTTCATGATTGTGAGCAAACCTCCAGGGAGCGTGAGAATGCTTCCGATCGCACTCAATGGACAACTCAGTCACTTCTGGAAAGTTTGCGACGAAACGTGTCCACTTGTCTCTGGAACCACCATACATGCACACTTGAAAATCAGCACAATAAAGTTCAACAGTCTTCCACAATTGCAGGAAATACGTGGTACACCAAAAATATGAATTCTTTGGGTTTTCCATCGTTGCCAAAATTCCACGTTTCGTGGCCTCAGCGAAGATGCGGCGCGCAAAAGAAAACAACTTGTTTGCTATGTTGACCCTGAGCAAATCACGTCCTGTCAAGTCTGGGAAACCATTCGGATGTTCATTACTGCGCAGGGGAGGCGGATCATTTGCTGAAACCTGGATATCCCGTGCACGGCCAGCGGTGCCGCACACAAGAGCTAGATGCACCCAAATGAGTAGCCCCGAATCAAGCCAAGCATCAACAAGCGAACTATCAGCTTCACGCGTCAAATCTAGCCTAATGATGCTAGAAAAACAACCATGCTTCTGTGTCTTGTCAACGGCAATGCTGTTATAGAGCCCTTGTTGCTTAGCAACTGAACAAAGCACTGCCGATCCTGCAAACAATTCCAGCATCCACAACTGTCCCACATGCATGCCTTGCCAGGCACGTGGGACGAGGGTCAGCCTAATTCACCGTCCATGCTCATGCAGCGGGTGAGCCTGTTGGCATTTTGGCTCAGCACATACATGAAGCCCTCTGCGACACTTCTCACCAGCTTTCACGTTCTTCTCTGGACAGCCCTGTGTGGTATTGTACCCAAAACAAATTGGGTCTCCTTTTGGCGTCTTGTGCCACTTTCCATGAAGATCACGTGGCATAGGTGGATTGCTTTTTCCACCCTTGCCTGAACCCTTTTTGCCTTTTCCTTTTCCTTTCGGATTGCGATCATGCCATGTCGACTCATAGGGTCCAGTATTGCGACGGCTCGAATCGCTCTGCATCAACCCGTGTTTTGCCAAAGGTGCCAAAAACAATGTAATGTATGGATCGGATCTCAAAGCTAAAAGAGCATCACCTAATGGATAACCTCCAAGCTGGTCCTGCCTGATGCTGTTCACTGTACTGCCTAATCTTGCCCAGGCCGCTCTATCACATTGCAGCAGTTGTGCCACACTCGGTCGGCTGTACCCAGGTGGCGCATCACGGTGCAGGGCCTCAAACAAGAATGTTGCCCACTCTGAGTGTTGGGCATGCGACATCAGCTTGGCAAACTGAAGAGCGATGCCACGGCGGACAAGGGCATTGTGAAGCTTGATTTCACTGTCAGTTGCACTAGTCAATTGGTCCTGATTTCTAAGGACCAAAGATCCCTTTTCCAAGCTCAGCTCACGACTTTGCTTCGCACCTTGCACTTCCAAAGTCCTGCTGACACATGCGCTCGGCTCCAAGTACACCACGATGTTCTTTTCATACATGGAACAAGCCTTGTCCAAAAGCAAATGGGATGGCTCAAGCTCCCCTGAAATGTTCACACCTAACAAAGCCGTCTTTATTGCCTGCATTCTCGAAGCTCTCTCGGCAAAGGCTATTTTCCGGGGAACCGAGTCGTCTGTCTGCTCAATGCTTTGGCGTAAGGACGCCACCAAGAACGTCTGCGCTTCGAGTGCTAATCTCTTGACCGTTGAGGTCTCCAGCAACGTTGGGGCCCTTCCTAGGGCTGTCTGCAGGAAACCTGTGATGTCGTCATTGGCCAAAGGTTGATTTGGCTGGCCTACTGCAAATGCTAATCGACTGAGAGTATCCACTCCACTTGCTTTTATGGAATCCAGCACTGTCTGTGATATCCCACTTTCCAGCAGCCGCGCATCAAAGTGAGCGGCGCTGTCGACGACAGTTGCCATGCTTCGGTTCTAAAAGGCTAGAAACGAGAGGTAGGTTGGCCAAAGGACATCAAACAAAGACAGTACAAGAACTCTTGTCCAAAGTATTAGAGGCTGAGGCTCGCGCAGTTGTTTGTGTTGTCTTGTTCAGCTCCTTTGAGCTCATGTGTGAATACCTTTTTCAGTTATAGTTTCGCTCCTTTGAGCCTGCACCGCTTTCGGTAAACAGTAGTTCGAGACACTTCGTCTCCAGTGGGCAGCTTTCTGCAAACACTCATTGGCCACTTTGGCAAACATTATTTCTTGGACTCCTTTGAGTGAAGGCACTTCGCATGTTTCTTTTGCAACGCGGTGCACTCTTCGTGCAGCGTCCTTGCTCTTAGAGCAAACTTGCTTCTTTCCCCTTTGGGGCAGCAAGGTCTACGCTAGATTAGAGAACCAGGAGAAACGCTCCAACTAGCTTAGGTGTCTACAAGCGTTCAAAGCGGAAAACACACAAGACAAAACACAAGCAGCACTCAAACCGTCCGTTTGTTTCACGTTCAAACGTTTGTTTCAAGAAGCCGTTTGTCTAGCAGGAGCTAAAGAAAGCGAGAACTATTACCCTGCACTTCTCCTGGCTTTCCGAACTCTCTCTAAAGCTTTGTCCAGGGCTTCGACTGCGTCCTCACGACTACGCACTCGCCCTGGATCATTTGGGAAGCACCTCAAACACTTTGGATACCTGAAGTTCAAGGTACGGCCCAATTCCTGAAAATTTCCAGTTATCTTCATCTTGCAAACAGTCACTTGCTGTTCATTTCGGACTGCATGCACACGAAAGCTTTTCACATGTTTGTAAAAGGTCAACCCTTCAGGCACTGCTTCGGTGTATGCAGCGCGAGCTTCAAAAGTCTCAGCCAGTGGCTCATCACTGCTTGTGCTGCTCGACTCACTGTCACTGCCGGACGAGCTATCAATCTCGATCAAACCAAGTTTGACAACGCTTTCTGGAAACAAGCTCAAGCTATCTGCTGAGGCAGCAACGTCTGTAGCAATGTTCATCTCTTCCTTGATGCTAAGCTGGTCTTCGTGGTCCTGAACACCCTCTACAGCATCCTGAACAGGGTCAGCTTCTGCCTGAACATGTTCAACTGGCAATACAGGCGTCCGTGCAGCACAACCATGAATCCCAAAACCAGGTCCAGGTGTACCTACTGCCGGCGTGACACCTGCAATGTTTCCTCTGTCGGCGATTTCCTCAAGGCCCATGCCAATCCTGATCAATCTGAGGAGCATCATCAATTTCCGAATTGGCCTGGCTTGCAAATGACGAGCGTACACTACTTCTGAACCACTTACCGCACTGCAATGATGCCCAAGCACTGATCGAACTTCCTTATCCATTCCAGACCTTGCACACCAGTCCAAAAGGGTAGCCTTCATAGAATGGGAGCGAAAGGATTCCCAATTTGAAGTTCCCTTCAAAAGACCTCGCAACCAGGCAGCAGCTTCAGACGTGGTCAAGGGCCGTGCGCAGAATCCACCACCGGATCTAGGCGCAGGTAGAAGAGGACCCAGCGGTACCTTGTGAATATTCAGCCCAACCTGCTGATAAAGATCCAGGAAAATCTGCAGCCAGTTTTCATTTGTCACTCCATCCCAAGGGACAACAAATGGCAGGTATTGTTCCTTCTTTTCGCCAACAGCGGAAGTCTTGTGTTCAGTTGTGTACAAGACTAAACAGCCGTTTCTCTTGCTTTCGATCTCAACATGATGGATGAAGCGTAGATCACTCCAGCGAGCTCGAGCATATGTGCACAAGAGCATGCAACCTGCTCCAACCTTGTCCACAATGCTATCAGCGCTCAACAACAGCGAATGAAGACGCCTCAAATGTTCAAGCTCCATAGGAGGTGCCTGATGTGTTGGTCCCTTCTCACGTTTCTCTATGGCTGCAAAACCTTGCAGCCTCCTAGATTCCAGGATGTTGTCAGCACCTTGCAATGCTATTGTGAACTTTGTGAACCTCACCGTCTCAAGAAAAGTGGCAGGTCCTGTGTACCCACGTGCATCACGGATTCTAGATTCTCTCAAGTGCCTGAAGTAGCTCCAAACGTCTGGCTCATGCAGCGGTATTGCATCAACACTGAAACCTCTCTCAAAGTAATGGTCTCTGTGCCAAAGAATGAAACGTTTCAAACTTCCTGCACGCTTGAGCAAAGTAGAATAACTTTTTGTACCAAAACAAGCCTTGAGGGTTTCGTTCGCCATCTCACCAGTCGGATCACTCCTGAGGTCTTCACAAACCTGTTGGCCAATGGCAGATGCACTCCAGTTTATGGAAAGAATATCAAGCCACTTTGCACAAGCCAAATCTGTCTGCTGTCGTTTGTTTTCAAAGTAGTCCAGGTCCTGAATGTCCTTCACTGCACTCAGAAAAGCAGCATCTGCACAAGCTTCAACTTCTCCGCTGACCGAGATTTGATTTCTATCTTCATTCTTAGTTGCAGGCAATTCCAAAGCTATACCATGCACTTGTGGTAAGTTGAGGCCCAGACTGTTGTGAAAGATTCCCTGCATTGAAGGTTGTTCCCACGGAAGCTTCATGGCAGGGTCCAAAGCTTTGTGACGTTCAAAGGCATGATTCACAGTCAGTGCCCAATCAGTTTTGTCAACAATGCACGCATTCGTACCTGTATTGAAATCAAAACTCTCCTGAGCAGTTCGATCGATGACCTCAACTCCATCGTCATGAGCCTCATCCAGCGGGTCGGCATCTAAAACTGAATCTGGGGACTGTTGGCGTGCCAGGTCCTGAGACATGTTGCCAGCTAAACCTGAAGCAAACGAGTTCAAATGTTCAATATCCTCCTGAAAGGAAAAATCTAAATCTTCCAAATGCAACGGGTCAAGTTCAGGCAGCACTTCATCGTCCTCTACCTCATCAACTTCAATCAAATCCATGGCACACCCCCCACTCTGCTTTTCAGAGCATTGACCGTTCGGTCAGCGGAGCCCGCCACACCCT